TATATATATATATATATATATATATATATATATACTATAATTTATAATTAATAGTAAAAATTACACTTTAAGTACATAATTATTAAACTCAAAATTTTAATGCATCTAAGGAGGTACTACTTAAGTTTGCACACCATTTTATCTATTCATGATGTACAATTCTTAACTCTTAAACTCAATGACCAATGAATTAATAAAAAATAAATCACTAAATTTGTCTATAAAAATGTGAGGAGTTATCAACTTAGTATCTAAACGGAAAATTGTAAAAGTGTTGTTGAATATGAGTTTTCTTATCAAGTTAATCTAATTATTTATTAGTTGATTAGGAACGTTGTTAATAGATGATGTGATACATTAGATGTTATGTAATAATTTTAATTAGTGTGCGACATAGCGTCCACGTTAGAAGGGGCTATAATGACCTTGACAATTTTTTTTTCTTGCATCCACGTCGGTAGGAACTAAAATAAACACTTAGGAGCCAAAATAAAAACTAAACTAAAACATTTAGGAACAAGAATGCAACTAAAAAGAAACATTCAAGGAGCAAAATGAAACTAAAAAGAAATATTCAAGAACTAAGATGAAAAATTAATAATATTTATTTTTGAATGCTTTTTTTTTCTTCTTTTTTGTTCTTTCATTCTTTTGTTTTATTTTTATTTCTTATCATTTTGGTTTTATAACATTTTGATTTCTATTTATATCCCTTTCTAAATTAGTCAGACATTTATATTTAAAATTATAATAGGAGTTTCATAAAATATACACCATTAGTTTCAAATTATCTAGTACTATCCAAATTAACCAAAATAATGAACAAAACATATCTCATTCTAATCAAATTAACCAAAAATCAATAAAGTAAATCTAGTGGTGAAAGATTTTGATACATTTTTTTAAAATATATTATTAATTTTTCATTTTAATTCCTAAATGTTTCATTTTAACTCAAAAGTTTCATTTAAATAACGTGGGCAAAGAGAAAAAATAAAAAAAACATATTTTTGTTATTAATATTTTTTCTTAATTTTTTTTAAGTTTCATTTTGATTTTTATTGAAATAGTCACCACGTCACGAACTAACAAAGGGATGATACTTAACGAATCATCTTATCATTCAATAATAATAATAATAATAATAATAATAATAATAATAATAATAATAATAATAATAATAATAGTAGTAGTAGTAGTATCACTATAGATTAACTTGAACAACGAAATGAAAATTGAATTATTCTTTTTAAAAATTTTCTTCTTTTAGAGGTGAATTTTATGGTTCATTTGTTAATAAATAAAAGGCAATAATGGATATGCATTTATAGTTTTGTGATATTAAATATTACATTTTTAAATAAAAAAATATACTTTTAATTTCTAAACAATTACTCAATGCAATGGTTAGCAAAATCATATTTGAAAAATCAAATTTTGAACATCATGTCCAACATTTTAGATTTATCTTTATTCATCACTTAATTTTAATCTTTTTCATGAGTACTTGTTTTATTAAAAAAAAAAAAAGTTCAATTGACACACATCATATTAAAGTAAACATTTCGGCATTAATATAATTTTTTAAGTTAATTATTATAAAAATTTATAAACTTACCACATTCATAAGTTTGTTATTAAATAAAAATATAAAAAATTATTTATATTATCAACACATGTATTATTTATTCTTCAATAAATACTTAAGAAAAATTTCAGAGCTACAAATGTTGTCCTAAAACTATATATTGTACATACAAAATCAATTATTCCTTTTGTTTCATTTTATTTGTCTACTTAGAAAGGTAACTTATATATTAATGGTCCATTTTGATTTGCTAAAATAAAATATATGATTTTGGACAACACAAATAATTTAAATCATGCTTGCTTTAAAAAGAAATCGCAAGACAACATACCCTCACCTCACTAAGACTAAAGCTCAACTTTTATTACTAAAAAAATTATAGAACAAATTTTTTTCTGAGTACAAAATACTCAAAATATAAATGTATCCTCATCTCTCTTATCTCTCACCCACCTTTTGTTTAATAATAATATAAATTGTATTAAGATAATTAATATTAAAAAATTACTTTAGTAAATTTTATCTTATTTAGTTTTTGTTATTTATTATTGATTAGACAATATACACGATAAAAAAAAGTTATATGTAACTCAAGCGAATCATGTGTTTCTGTCTTTGTAATGTAACTTGGTTTATCAAACACATTCTTATAAGAAATAAAAGTAGCATCTTTGTTTATAGTGTAATTATTTTTAACTTTTCAATATTTTTCTTATAATAATAAAATATAATTTCATTCTACCAAAATATTCATATTAAGAGTAAAGAGATATTTTTATGTCAGGATCGAAATCCAAACCTTGAATAAGAAACATACATATGTAATAAAATAACAATTTTCACTACTTTGTTAATATTAATAGAGTGAAATTGTTTAATATATTATAATGTTATTATTTATCTCTCATGTTATCTCACTTATTAATGCAAGTCAATTTTTAGACTTTCTTATAAAAGGATTAAGTTATTTCTATTTTGGTTTCCATAAAAAGTATCGTGTAAGAATATAATTAAGACCTCCAAATTATAACATTTACTAAAAATAACCCCAAATCAAGATTTATTGATTAAGTGGACAGATACTAAAAAATTCACACATTTTAAAGATAATTTGAAGAAAAAAAATATTAATTGTTGATAATTTAATTTTCAAAATAATTTTGTTTGGTTACATTTTACTAAATAAATTTAATAACATTTACTAAAGCCTACTGTATTAATTATCCTCAAGTAAACAAAAGAATATTTGTACAACTTCTCAAATTTAAATTTGTGAAATCTTTCGACTTTCTGTGCTACATAAGGAAATCATAGCATTTATCACGAGGTTCTCAAATTTAAAATTTTCCCCACCTACTAACAATGCAAAACAAGAGGCTGTTCAAACTTCATCAGAGTTCAGAAGCAATGAATTTAATTCCACGCTTTGTAATTAAATGCATTCCTTTAAAAAGAGGGGGACTATTAATGTTTGCAGGGGCGTTGTTCAATTAATAATTCCATTGCTGCTTTTGACGGGAGAAAACCTATACTGTGGGCTGGGCACATCTTGAGCACTGCTACTGATACTGTTTGAGACCCCTAACAGTATTACTATAAAATAAGAAAATAAAAGTTAATCACCTATACATTGCCGGGGTAAAATTTTTTTATATTGGCAACCAATTATATCTTTTAATTGCGTCATGTCACTGTTAAAAATAAATGTATTTATAGTGACATGACACAATTAAAAGATATAATTAGTTGTCAGTGTAAAAAAACTTTACACTCGCAGTGTATAGGTGATTAACTCATAAAATAAACACTTCTTCGCATTTCCAATATAAAATAAACATCTACTCCTAAATATTTAAAGTTCTTTGGCTTAATTGCAGTTTTGATCTCTCAAGTATTGCAATTGTGCAATTTTGATCTCTAAGGTTTTAATTGAGTAATTTTAGTCCCTAAAGAATTGTAATTGTGCAATTTTAGTTCTTCAATTTTTAAATGAACAATTTTAGTCCATCAAATATCATAATTGTGCAATTTTAGTCTATCTCATTAAAAATTTAATAATTTTAATATATATATATATACAATATTTTAAAATTATACAATTATTTGTCTATTCAAGTTAACATATATTATAATTTTCATTAATATATCAAATGATATATATTTATTATTACTAAATAAATAAAATTTATATATTATTATTTTTATAATATTATTAATAAATTATAAAAATAATTTATTATTTATAAATAAATTATTATTTAATATAATAATATCAATAATATTATTAATATATTTATAGATAAACTAATAATTTGATAAATATAACTTAGTATATATTAATATACTTTTACAAAAATATAAATATATTAGATAAGATATGTATATTTCTAATTAATATACTTATATTTTTTATCTATAAATATACTAAAAATATTATTGATATTAATTTATTAGCAATATTAAAATATTAATAATATATAAATTTTATTTATTTAATAATAATAAATATATATTATTTGCTACATTAACAAAAATTACAATATGCGTTAACTTAAATAAGCAAATAATTGTATAATTTTAAAATATTATATATATATATATTAAAATTTTAAAATTATTAAATTTTTAATAGGAGAGATTAAAATTGCACAATTATAATATTTGAGGGACTAAAATTGTCCAATTTAAAAATTGAAGGACTAAAATTGCACAACTTCAATCTTTTAGAGACTAAAATTATCTAATTAAAATCTTATGAATCAAAATTGCACAAATACAATACTCGAGAGATCAAAACTACAATTAAACCAAGTTATTTTTATTTATCATCCTACCAAAGCACAACCCTTGTTATACCATAATAATGTATTCTTAAACTGAATTTTGACATCACCATATAAGTAATTTTTATTTTATTTTTCTCTTTTTAAATATATAAATTTTAATATGATCTCACCTATTTAATTTCTAAAAGAGAATTTGTAAAAAAATAACATGATTATTTTATAACTACATTATTAATATACAAAATATTCATCAATTTTATCGATAAATAAAAATTCTGTAAAAAAAAATCTATTTGATTCGTATTTTTTAATAAAGTTTCTCATTTTTATCACATTTTTTTTATCTAGATATTTAAATTCAAAACCCTGTTATCCACCTCTAGTGAATATATATTATACATACTTTTCTCTTTTTTAATCATGCATAAGCCAATTTTACTAAATAAAAACGTTTTTTCTATACATTTTTTTTCTTCTATGTTTTTTCTCCTAAAATTACTTCTGAAAAAGCTATTCAAATATAACTATCCTTTTTCTATGTGAGTAATTACTAACATAAAATATATATCCATACATGATACACCATTTTCCGCTTTTCTTTTTTGGATCTTAAATGGTGCACAGCATATGGGATCTTAAGTGTTCAACACCTAAGAGGTTTTCCAAAATGGATTGCAGCTAGCAACAGTACCATACCTGTTGATCATGTGTGCATCGTGTTCATAACCGCGTAAACTATAATGGGGGAAAGAGTTTGACTC